TATATAAGTCAAATATAAGACTTACCTCCCCATCGAATAGCCACTGTCTTCACCCCTAATAGCACACCCCACCAAGACCGATCAAGCAACAAAAACATTCATCGTTGAGTTTGCTTATGTCAGTGTAACACCCTTGGCTCCGCTCATGTAGATAAAAATCAACTGCGGTCTTAGCCCAAAGGGTATTATCCACAATTGTTTCCGGTAGTTGTCTCCTCTCCACTTCAGATACCGGAAGGGTACTAGCCGGTAACTCATACGAGAGTCAATTCTCATCCATCATGTCCGGAACCGGTGGGGGTTTCTCAATACTTCGATATATTACCCCATGTGAATCGGGCTCTGGAATGGTGGGAGGGACCTCTTCAACGATGACAGTGGCCTCTTGAACGGTGGAGGGGACTCTTGAGGAAGGATAGGGGCCTCTTGAACGATTGGAGGGGACTCTTGAGGGATGACAGGTGAGTCGGGCTTCTTCTTGCGGAGTCTTCGCACCATTAGGGTTAACGGAGACGTAATAGCACGTCCACGCCGTCTGATGCGTGAACTCTATCGTGCAAGGAAAACCCGACGTAAAGCTTCCACCTTATCGGGCCGCTAAAAAAAATTAATACATAAATCAATAAATAAACAGACATGATATTAAACAAAGACAAATATGTTTCAAACTAGCATTGTATTCACCCAAGTCATTATTCTATCATAGTTCACGAAATGCTCAGATAACATTCCAGAAGTAAGCACTTATATAAACATTTAAAAGGACAACATATATAAACATTCCAGAAGAAGAATAGTTTACTTTCGCAACACGAAACTTAAAATCGCAACGCGAAAATGACTATCGCAACGCGGAAATGGCTATCGCAATGCGAAATGCAAATCGCAACGACAAAATTGCAATGCGAAATGAAAATCGCAACGACAAAATCGCAACGCGAAATGAAATCGCAACGCGAAACACAAATCGCATTGCGACTTTCATTTCGCATTGCGATTTTGTCGTTACGATTTTCATTTCGCATACGATAGCCATTTCCACGTTGCGATAGTCATTTTCATGTTGCGAAAGTAAACTATTCTTCTTCTGCAAATTGAAACTTGAATGGATTGCATTACTTCAACCAAAAGACAAAAACAAAACCAAAAACAAATACTAACAAAAACAGTTTAGCAGTATTGGCAGCAACCGAATGAATTACGAGTATGAAAAATCTTAAACTTACCTCGTTGTGTAGAGTATGAACCTCATTCTGTAACGATGCTACCATCTCACGTAGAGCGGCTACCTCACCGCGTAATGTAGACACCTCAACACGCCATGCACCATCGTCTTTGCGTAAAGTACCGACCTCCTCACGCAAGGCATTGACCTCATCACGTAACTCCCCTAACTCATCCCGTTGAGGTGGAGAACAGGGAGATAAACGTCGTGGCATCTTTTCCGGTCGCCTATCTTGCGGTGATGGTGGAGAAGAGGCTCGATGATGTGACATAATAGGTGATGGTTGTCGTTGTGGAGGTGTATAGTCGGGTCGATCAGATGATGGCTCTGGGTGAGGTGATGGCTCCCGAAGTGGAGGCTGCTCATCAACCGTTCCATCAAAAAAACGCTTACTAGCTTGCCACCAATCAGTGGCAAGCTCAGCTTCCGTGGGTGTCAGCCTCTGTAGAGGAGTGTTGGCCTCCTAACAATATAAAAGCTCAAACAAAGTTAAACGTGTACTAGTGATAACTTGTTTATAAACATATGGTAGTATTTATGTTAACTTACATTATTTATTGTCGTATACCGTAGTAAATCTTCCTATTGCAAGGTCCGTTTCCTCTTCCAGGAAATAGCCCTGGGAATATCATTTGAAGTTTTTATTGCATATGTCTTCATGGCGGGAAAGGCCTCAAATATCCAAATCTACAAACAATATAATAACAAACATTAGTAATTGTTAAATAATTACTTATAATTTTGGAAACATTATATAAAAATTCTTACCTTAAAGGCCCAAATAAAGCCTGTCAAAGTGTATTTGGAACCATTGCCATGCAAACTTTTTTGATCATCCAAGGCATACGATAACTTATTCCATGTAGCTTTCCATAAATACGAGCCCCACGGAAACAAGTTCCACGCATTTAGGTCTTCTACCAATTTGATTAGATCATTTGGAATAGGTTGTCTGGCCTCTCTGCCTAAAAATCCGGCATGCAAAAGAATTAGAAGGCATATTCGGACAACGTCGACGTCATCCATCCGAGTAAAACCATCTTTCTTATTCAACAATCTTGTCAGGTCTTCTACGTGTAGATTCGGCCTCTCCAGCTCAAGAAAAACCCGGGATAGCCATGATGGGCGGGTAATGTGTCTAGTGTACCGACCTACATCATCGTGTCCGAAGCGTAGACCGGTGATTAAGCAAAACTCCTCCCGCCCAAAACACGTATACGCCGGTGGAAAATCAAACCATATCTCTTCATCACGACGTTGTATAGTCTCTGGTAGATCGCTAGTCATGGTTTGAAGAAACAAGTGTGTCAACATCGCATCTCCACCGGGATGTTGTACTTTCAGCCATGGCCCGAAGCATGTATCCTCAAACATTTTTCTTTGTGCAGGTGAAAGCTTCGACGCAATTATTTTGGCCAGGCTGACTTTATTTCTTAAGATCAATTGAGCCGAATAAAAGTTCTACAAAAACAATAAACATACTAAGTTAGATATACCAAAAACTACACTGTGAAGATATACCAAAAACAATAATAAACATAAAGAGTAGTAGTTTATTCTTCAAACTTAAATTTGCAACACTGTGAATTTCGTATTTGTCTTTGTTTTTTGGTTGAAGTAATGCAATTCATTCAAGTTTCAATTTGCAGAAGAAGAATAGTTTCTGAAAATGAAAATCGCAACACGAAAATGACTATCGCAACGCGAATTTGACTATCGCAACGAGAGAATCGCAACGCGAAACTAAAATCGCGTTGCGATTTGCATTTCGCGTTGCGATTCTCGGTTGATTTAATAAGCAATCTAAGTGAAATGGTTAATCTATTATTGAAATTACCAGTAAACTTATCATCAATTTTAATATAAAAAACCTAATAATAATGCAAAAATTTCAAAAAGAAAATAATTAAAAAAACTAACCCTCGTTGGTTGATTTGGTTGATTTTCCATTTCTGATTGTGAGGGTGGCTCTGAGAGATGGAGATAGATGGATTTCGCCGGAGATGGGGACGGATTTCGTTGGAGATGGGTGAGAGAGTGAGAGATGGAGATGGGACTGAGTTGTGATTTTAGGTTTTAGGTTATGAGTTGCGATTACGGGATATACTGTGGACGGTTCAGTGTTCCAATATATTAATATTCATGTTTGGAATTTAAAAATAAAATACTTGGCCAGGATACTAATGGCGCTTTGAAAATCGCATTGCGATTATGTATTATCGCGTTGCGAAAGTCAGAATCGCGTTGCGAAAGTCAGTATCTCGTTGCGATTTTGTATTATCGCATTGCGATAGTAAGTATCGCATTGCGATAGTCAGTATCGCATTGCGATTTTCCCAATTCGCGTTGCGATTTACTTATTCGTATTGCGAATTGGAAAAATCGCAACGACACTGTAGACCATCGCAACGCGATTTTCAACTATCGCAACGCGAAATACAACGCGAATTTGCGATAATGGAGATCGCGTTGCGAATTAGCGATCGCATTACGATTTTGTTGGTCATTTTGGCAAATCCGAAAAAAATTGATTAAAATCATATATGTTATTTTCTCTAATATATATTATACAATATTCATTCCGTAAAGGTCTAGATTCATTCCACTTCATGAATTGATCCTTCTCTGACACATTCTATCTTTTCTTCTATCATTTTATCCATCTACCCTCTTTTCCTTTTAACATGAATTATCATCTTTATTACAGGAATATATATATATATCCATGGGATTTTATTCATTTTCCATGTTGTGTTAACGTACACAAATTAACAAGCATTCTTCTGAAAATATTGTTTCTTTTTCGTTTTAAAAAATATTTTAAAAAAATTTATATTTAATTTCTCAAAGCATCATTGGAATTTATTATAAGAAAAACTGGGTAAGTTATTTTTTTATGAAATTCATATGAAGAGGAAATATTAAATAATGGCTTGGAGAAGAGGCTCTTGGGAGGTGAGACTATAAATGAAGAAATGGTAGCAGAAACCTCCAGAAGATTTCAAATTAATATAAATTGGTATTTTATATAGTAAATGAATAGACTATTAATAGGTTGGTTGGATTTTTTTTTTTGGAGATGCAAGGTTAGAGGGTGTTGGTGAAGGATACATGCAGGCATGGATCATGCGGATGGATGGGAATTGTCACCCTCAAAATATTTTAATTTTTTTTATATTTTTAATTGAAAATTTATTTTCGTTTTTCTAAAGTTTTAAAATTTATCTTCCCTTATAATTTTATAAATTTATCTCTTAACATAAAATTCTGTGTCTATCCCTAGATACATGTGTTTACGTTATTCGGCATATATGCTTTTTCTACATTAATGCATTAATAATTAATTTAAAACAATTAAATCATTTAGAATGTGAATTGAATTAATAAAATATATGAATATTAAAGATTAAAACTGTTATTATATCAATAAAAATAGGACACAATAGTAATTCTATTAATTATTTTACTGCAAATGACCAAAATGATATCTTTTATAAAGTTAGTGACTAAATCAATTTTTATTATTATAGTGTCCTAAACAAAATAGGTTAAGAGTTGGAATACTGTCTAGACAGTTTACCATTTCAATTAATGGTATTTATTTATTCGTCTTTACACAACAAGCACACATATATGTCGCAATCCAATTTCGTTGAAGCTGGGCCCTTTTCTCGAGTTGGTTTAGCGGACTTCATCATAAGTGCAGGGGAGACATGGGACGGATTCAAAGCCTGCTCATGGTTGCCATAACCCACCAACTTTAGCCCAAGTTGGCAACAACTGGAAGCCAACGCGCAACGGGGCTTCACGGTTAACGACTCAAAGCGGCAGGAGCGGGCGAGGGAGGGAGAGGTAGGGGTGTATTCGGTTCGGTTCGATTTTTTACCAAAAATTGAATCGAATTGAAATAAACGGTTTTTCAATATTTAAACCGAAACCGAATAGTTAAAAAACCGAAAAAACCGAAATCGGTTTTTTCGGTTCGGTTCGAATTTTTTAACGGTTCAAATTTTTCGGTTCGGTTCGGTTCGGTTTTTCGATTTTTTAATGAAAAAATCACTTGAAACTATAAATTTTTTTACAAAAATTACCTATTCGGTTCAATATGAAACAAATGGGTTCCATATGAAAAATCTGAATCGAATCAAAAAATGAAGCCTTTAAACCGAACTAAAAACCGAACCGTTTAAAACTAAACCGAACCAAACCGTTTTATTCGATTCGTATCGATTTTTCGATTTTTTCGATTTCGTTGCTCACCTACGGAGAGGGATCTTCTTCTGCAAATTATAGGGTTTTGTTTGGATTGGTCAGGTCAGTGAGCGCCAGAAAGGAAAGTTGAAAATCGGAAGCTTTCTATAATTCTCTTCGATTACTGAACAATTGGTCAGCTGTTTTTTGAAGTAAAAATTTCCTTTAAAAAAGAATAAAAAATTAAATATATGAAGATGGTCAATTTGATTTCGTATTTGGTGATGATTTTGCTTGAGAAAGAGCGTGTGCCTATTATTTGCAGGAAGAGGAAGAGGAAGAGACAGGGTGTGTGAGAGATTTTTTTAAGAGAGGATCTTTGGGAGAGAGCTTTTGTTTTGAGCGTGTTAAAGATTTCAACGATTTTCATTTCTCAGCTCAAATTCTTCCATTTCTCCATGGACCGTAAGCTCGTGGTTAGTTTCCCGTCCTTGATTTTTTTTTTAAAGACTAAGTTTTTGTTATGGGTTTTCTTGCTGTTGTTGAATTAGATTAGATTTCTTTTCTAGGTTTTAGGAATCCCGTGGGAGGTGGATACTGAAGGTTTGAGGGAATATATGAGTAAATATGGTGATTTGGAGGATTGTATTGTCATGAAGGTTTGCACATTTTTATTCTCTCATTTATCTTCTGTATAGATTCAATGATTGTATTGTATTGGAGGATTGTGAAAACTCATAATTCCTTTGTATGTAGAAAAAAATTGTAATTTCAATCACTTAACTAGCATGGGTTCGTTGTTCTCCCAAAATTTGAATATTTTACCTTAGTGGCTTTGTTATTTTGAAGGTGTGTTGAAAAAAATGTAATTACTTTTCTTGTTTACTTATGTTGTTCATTGATATCAATGTTCTTTTTCCATTATATAGGAGCGATCCACAGGCCGATCTCGAGGTTTTGGTTATGTGACATTTGCATCGGCTGGTGATGCTAAGGTAATCAATGACCATCTCTCATTTTTTTTTTCTTTCCCTTAACTTTAAACCATGTGATAAAATAATTATTGTTTTCATTTTCTACAGAGCGTGTTATCCAGAGAGCATTTTCTTGGGGAGAGAATGCTGGAAGTTAAAATAGCTACGCCAAAGGTTTTAACATAAACTTCAGTAGATTCCTTTTTATTTGAAAATTCTTATATGTTAACTAGTTTTTTTATCGATAGCATCTTCATTGTCATATTGACAGGAGGAGATGAGAGCACCTGCAAAGAAAGTAACCAGGATATTTGTGGCCAGAATTCCACCCTCCGTGGATGAATTGACCTTTCGGAGGTAATTTAGTGCAATATATGATCATGGTTGTGCTGTCTTTTTTACTCTTTGCTCGTTATTCTCTGAACATGGTTTGTCAACCCTACTCAAGTAGCTCAACGAAACAATGACTTTGTTTGTTTGAGCTGTCTAATCATGTTCAGTGGGTAAAGAAAAAATAATGATCTGTTTTGTCAGCTATGTGAGGAATTGACATAACAACCAGTATATTCTTCTTTACAGACATTTTGAGGAGTATGGTGAGATAACAGATTTGTACATGCCAAAGGTACACTCTCTCTCTCGTATTTGTTCATGTGTCTATGTTATGCTTATGGTTGCATGTAAACGTAGTAGTTTTCTTGTTAAAACTTCCTTAGATTATTATTAAGCATTTGTTTCACAGGATCAAGTCTCAAAAGCTCACCGTGGAATTGGCTTTATCACCTTTGCTAGTCCAGGTCAGTTTGCCCTGTTCCTGGCGTAGCACTTTTGAGTTTATTGTCTGCATCAAACAGTTGCATGCTTGTGTTTGACCTTTGGGATATTTTATTTGGGGTCTTCAGGACTAAAGTTCTTTTTCTTATCAAAAAAAAAAAAACTAAAGTTCTTCAAGCCATATTGTTGTCTGTTTTTCCAATTGAAAATCCAAGTTGTGCAGTTAATAATCACCTGTTACTTCTTTGAACTTAGTTATATATACTGGTTCTTTTCCTCCTCTCTTGTTATGTCCGCCAGTGAGATACTTATTTTACTTGTACAGGTTCTGTGGAGAATCTCATGGCTGATACTCATGAATTAGGAGGTGTTACCGTCGTTGTTGATCGAGCAACACCCAAGGCAAGTTACATTGAAGCCAGTGCTTTTTGGTTTTTAACAATTTACCTGTTTGACCACCCTAAGGTTGAATGTTGACCTTTTTAGTGCGGGACAAAGCACAAATTTGTTTTCATATTCTATTCCCCTGGAAATTTCACATACATACTCAATATATGTAGGGATAATATCATAATTTTGATATTATGTTGCTAGGAAGATGATTTCAAGCCCACAGGCAGAATGTCACAGGGGAGATATGGTGCATACGATGCTTACATTTCTGCTGCAACTAGATATGCTGCAGTTGGTGCTCCTACCTTGTATGACCATCCTGGCCCAATGTATGGAAGTAAGTTCCTTTCCTACCGGCAACTTTGATTTGTGGAAATACTTTATACTTGTGCTGTAATTTTTTCCCTTTATGTTCAACTAGGAGGGGAGTACAGTCGTGGTATGGGAAAAAAGATTTTTGTTGGCAGGCTCCCTCAGGATGCTACTGTTGATGATCTGCGCCGGTATTTTGGTAGATGTGGTCAAATAGTAGATGTTTATATTCCTAAGGTAAAAGTGATGAAATGTTATGTAGAAAGGAGAGATGAATTGAAGCCATCTGATGAAGGTTTGGATGCTCTTATAATGTAGGACCCCAAGAGATCTGGCCACAGAGGTTTTGGTTTTGTAACTTTTGCTGAAGGAGGAGTTGCAGACAGAGTATCTCGTAGGTCTCATGAGATTTGTGGACAACAGGTACATGGGAAAAAGCTTCTATTTTCTTGCCTCATACTTTATTGCCACGTTACATCTGAGGCCTGGTTCGTGATACCCTTCCATTTTTATTCGTGATCATAAGAATTTATGCATGATAGCAGGTTAAACAGGCCAAGTGCTTTGATGATATGTTAAATTTATCCTGCCATAATATCCATTTTTCGGGTTCTGAAACTATGTTCCGAAATTAACTCTTGCAATGACTGCAAGATAGTTAAATAGGCAAGCAGGCCTAGTCCACTACAGTAATGCCCCTTTGTTTTAGTTATTTCTACCTTCTATTCTCCGTGACATGCAATCAGAATGTCACAACTTATGTTTTAAACTCTGATCATTTTACATCTAAACTTGCTTTTCAGGTGGCAATAGATTCAGCAACTCCTGTTGATGACGTTGGCCCTAGTTTCATGATGAATCCTTTTGGACCATTTAGAGGTTTCGGTGGTCCAATGCGCCCCTTTGGTAGGATGTATGGAGGCATGCATTTTGACGATGTGAGTATAAAAATACATACATACACACACATACTGGAAACAACTTGGGAAATGTAAATAATTTTTACACAGAAACAGGGTTACTTTTACCTTTTCTGGTATGGAAAACAAACTTCCTTTAGCCGTTTACTTATTATGCATTTCATATTTAGCAGTGGGGTTATGCCTTTGGGAGTACAAGGCCATCGAGAGCAGACTGGCGGTACCGGCCCTACTAAGCAGCCATGGAATTGCTGTGAAGATCTTTATCGAATATCAACATTTGAACAATCTCGATTATTACCTTGATATGATTGTCAGTAATTCTGATTACGTCATGCGAGCCATACTTTTAACAGTGTGGTACCAACCCTTTCACCTGGAACTTCCTGTCAGTGTTATGTTGTCAAGTTTCAATTGTTAAGCATATATGCAAATGTTTTACTGTTTACCTATGAAGCTTGTCTCCTTCTGTTTAATACTCAGAGCACAATGGGCATTTCACCAACTTATGAAACAGTAAAGCAATATACAGGACCAACGTATTCTGGTTAGTGGACATTGACGACCATAAAGATGTTATTTACTTTATAAAAAAAAGGAAAAAATATCATATCCACCAAGAACATGAGCTCGAGATCAGCATTCTCTGGACCATTGAATCTATGATACTCTACATGAAAGAGTAGGGAAGGCGAGAAATCTGCAGGCTTTTAACAACAAAGGAAACAAAAGACTCCATCGCTAAGATAATACCTGGTGGAAAAGATTTGAGCCCATGGAGATCATATCAAATTTACAGAAAAACTAGAAACCATGGCAGGAGAAACAACTGCTGAAATAACGCATGCGGGTATGAAAAACTTTGCTTAAGTCTTTGGAGCCTGTTCATCCTCTTTGCCTGACATCGAATTTCTTATTTCTTGAGCTTTAATCCAAGACGTTCTCAGCTTTCTCAAGATCTTATCCATTGATGCTGATCTCTTCTTTTCTAATTTCATCTGATAGTATGATACAGAAAATGTAATTTTAAGAGAGCTTAAACAACTGGATATAGAGAGAAAAACTGCCAAAAAACAGAGTTCCTGTGTGCATGTGAACCTCTAGTTTTCGTATGGCTGCCTCGGCTTTTGCTCTCTGCAGATTCTCCCATGCACTGATCTTTGCTTCCTCTCTTTGCAGTCTGCAAAATAAAGTTAAAAAGATTTTTTTAAAGAAAAAGATCCTTTATATTTCTGAAACTTTTATTTCACTCTACTTCCCTAGTTTCTTTTGGATAGTAATATTAATGCACCCATGAAATCATGCAGTTCCATCTAGGAACTCAATGTGGCTCGGAACAGTAAAGACTAGCATTGAATGAAAGAATTTAGACTAATTCCATCTAAGTTTGGATTCCAGGGATGTTGTTGGAAATTTCTGCGGTCCCAACTATAGGAATTTCTTGGAACTCTAATCTTGTATGAAAAAAGTAGTGATCTTGGTCCCTAATGAAGCTAGTTAAAATTACATTCTACACTATTAAGCAAAGAAGAACATGTATTTTGGAAACTTCCAGTTCTAATTGGATGATGCAGGACTGAAATTAAGGAAGAATGCTATAGAAACATACTTTGAAAGGCTTGGTGAAGCCTCTGAGATATCCATGGATAAAGCAGGAGCTGGGGCATTGTTTTGGTAGAAGTCTTCGAAGTCTGGTTTGCCTTTCTTAATTCTTCACGATCTAGTAATGGTGGCTCGCTTGTCTATCTGCACTTCCCTGATGTCCAGTTTAGAAGGATGATCAATGTTGTCCACGGTAGGAAGAGGAAGAATAGGAGGTGAATGGCCAAATGAAGACCTCTCTCTCGGAGATGAGTGTTTGCTACTCTCGTCTGGGCTCATTTGTGTCGCCATATCCCTCCGTGAAACTGCATGATTGATCATCATTCCGGCATCCTTGATCTCATCGAGTTTTTCATCTGGAAATTTGCTCCAACATCAGTAGTTCCAAGCCACAGACATGCAATTTCAAGCTAACATTTTATACGAGGTTCGAGCAACTCTACGGCTCTATGTTTCTCGAACTCGGATAATTAAAAGAGAAATGAAGAGCGGAGCAACATAACTAAAACTAGCATCTGATTCTTCTGCACTCTGGATTCAAAGTTCCCCTATCATATGCATATTTAAGAACATCATTCACAATTAGTCATTACAGATAACATATTTAACATAACTGGGATTGATTGTTAAATATCTTACTTGCAATTTGAAGTTCATCTTAAAATTGGGTTGCTTTGGGGTTAGATTATCCTAATTAATGTTCTTTAGCTTCCATAATCAGATCAGAAGATAAAATTCCATGAAACATTAGCAGCCCAAGTTGAAATTGGAAGCAAATGATACCTTGAGAGCTTGGCAATGATGGCTCACTAACCAAATCTGACCATCCAGGCATAATAGCGGGTCCAACCCCATTACTATCACCCTGCAACATATAATACCGTTCGCCGACACCATATCCGCCGGGTGCAGCGGCGGAGACGGCAGCTCTACAACCAACATAATGAACGGAAACCCCATCAGCCATCAAAACCCCAGTTGAAAAAGGAGAACCCGCCATCAAATTCCGAACAGACCCGCTTTCTCCACCATCAAGTAAGTTCATGGAAGGCGAACAATTAGAGTAGAAATCAATCCCCGGAGGCACAATCGGCCCGCTTTTAGACTTTGGCCGCCTCTGCCGCTGATAGTTTACATTCTTGCTAACACCATAACCCAAAACGGGGCTACAAATCGATCTCTCCGCGTCTTCCCATTTCGAAGGCAACGTCCTCCCACTGTAAAAAGGTGTCAAAGATGAAGCACTGATATGTCTTCTGCTACCGCCATTACCATTAACCGAAGAACGCGGAACTCGCTCCGAACTCCAACCTTTTTGACTCACCAACACTCCATTATCGCGGTAATCTGAAGCTCCTGGGCTTGGAAAAGTACCCAGATGGCTCAAAGAAACTGACCCTTTCTTCATCCACTCTCTCAAATCACCAGAAACAAACCCAAGAGTCTTACCCTTTCAGCTTAGCTTCACACAGTCCCACAAAGAGCTGAACTTTGAACAAAATAAGATTGGTTTTTTTGGTTTGCTGGCAAGGATGTCCAAAAGGGTCATTGAGAAAATGAAAGAAATTGTTTGAAAGCTGACATTATTTACTGTTCTTTGTAGCTAAATTATACAGCTTTTTTTCCCTTCATTTTATCTTTTTTTGGCGGTTAATTTATCCTTTTGGGAAAGCTACCCATTTTCTAGGGTACAAAGATTTGTTTGCATCCAAGACAAGCCTCATGAAGGGTGTTGGTTCCTTGAGATTGAAAAATGCCAAAACACTGCATCAAATCATTGCATACAAAAGCTAAGAATGTTGACGAACTTTGCATTAAACGTTTTTTAACAGTCTTAAAAGCTGTATCTATCAAAGACAATGATATTTCATCGTTTTCTACGTATTCATTCTTTCCTACTACTCAATGAAATCCCAGATATTCAAATAAATCCACACGAATAAGACAACAAAAAATCCACCTGGAAAGAGTAAAAAATAAGAAAAAAGAGCGTTGCTGAATATATCCATAGATGGTTGATCAATGATCAATAAGAACAAGGAGGCTTTATATACAGATTTAAGGCTGTAACATATAACATATTGTTCATACTTTGGCATTTTCTTATGTTTATTCCTTTTTCAATACAAGGAATTGAAATGTTTTGCATTTAATCTCAGTTTATCTTGCTCATTTTCACAATATTAGTTTATGTTTATAGGATTGACTATTTGTGGATCCCAGCCTTCAATAATCAATAACTGAACTATGTAATTGCCAAAATAATAATAATAATAATTGAACTAATTTTATAATACATGATTTACATTTCTTAATTAAAACAAAACCTTGGAAGCATATCCAAAACAGGGCAGATCCAAGGTTTGGTCCCTATCGGTTATATATACACAATTCAAACATAAATTGAAGTTTTCGTTTTTTTACCGGCTTTAATAGAGTTGGCAAAAAGTAGGTTATTACATCTCTAGCACTGAAATGATCAACGACAAAAAACGCTAATAAAAATCTTATGTTAAATCTTTTTATTTTCTAAATTTAAAGGTTACATTAAATAAAAAATAGTTCAAAACTCACATTAATTTCTTTTGAAAAATATAAGGAATTTAGGTACCTTTTGCCTAATATATAATATGAAAGTGTGGTCCATTGAGTAAATTTTGCAGCAGCTGATCCATTGCTGATGGTCGGGCAGTGGATTCACCCCTACATATGTGAAGGATGTAGACATCAAATGCATTATTGTTTCTATATTATTAATATAAAAGAGAGATATACTTCCCATTCCAACTCATATTATTGCACCGCTTCCTATTTTCTCTCTTTTTGTATTCACCATTTACTTTAGCTGATACCTGTACCCCATATGCTTATTTATAGTGTTATTCCTTCCAATTCAATGTTAAATAAGATCATGTTGATACATAATTGTTTTTGTTTATAGTGTTGTCTATGGGTGAAAAAAGATAATAATTGTGGATGATAATTGGAAGGTTATCAATACGAGTCTAATTCTTTTTTAGAAGTGTATATATATATATTTATTTATTTATTTTTTGTTATATGATTATTTATAATATTTTAAATAAGTGTCGATCAAGAATTATAGTAACATTTATATTGATTGGACGTCTTGGAAAATGATGGTTTTAAAATCACGTATATCAGCACATGTTTGTTGGTGATAATACGTAGAATATATTCAAGACATAGCAGGTGATCGACATGTAGTAACTTTTAGTTATTCATGAGATACATTTTGTAAGTCTACATATCTAGAGATTCACATGGGTCTTATATTTACATACTTGAAGATTCGTATAAGTCATATGTTTGTATACTCAAAAGATTCGTAGAATTGAAAGTTCGCATGTAGTAATAAAAGTTATTCCTCCGTATTCAATGATAAATAAGATTATATTTATATATCATTGTGTTTATTTATGGTGTTACTGTGTTAGTCCTTCAAATTCAATGATAAATAAGATTATGTTTATATAATTATGTTTGTTTGTAGTGTTATTTCTCCAAATTCAATGATAAACAAGATTAATATTAATATATTAATTATGGTTATATGTATTGTTATTCTTTTAAATTCAATGATAAATATGATTATTAATATGTAATTTTCTTTAGTTAGTGTTATTCCTTCAAATTTAGTGATAATCTATGGTGATAGAATTATGTATAGCGTTTGACATTTAAAGTACAGAACGCACTTGGAACTTTACTTATGAAGTGGAAAAATAATTTAATAAAATGGTGAGTTTAAATATACCAATAAAACTACTAAACCCACCAACATTATTATTTTTTTATTAAAGTTTTATTTGTTTAATAAGTAATGAGTTTTTAGTGGGTTTTTATTTAATAGATAGTGAATTTTCAGTGGATGATTATTTAATAGGTATTGAGTCTTTAATTTAGGTAATAATTAATAATATTATTATTATTATTAATAAAAATAATATTTAATAATTTTTT